TGTGTGTGAGTGTATTGAGTGTGTGTGTGTGAGTGGATGTGTGTGAGTGGAGAAGGCTCGTGAAGGACGCTCGCTCCTCCAGCAACAACGGAGGGCAGAGGAGCGACGCTCACAACAACGAGCGGAGCGCAGGGCGGAAATAACGCAGTAAGTCGGCACAGTCGGGGGTAGAGCTGGTGTGCATCTACCGGTCATCTCAGTCAGCCAACCCATGGCACCTGCTGGGTCTGTCCCGAGACCTCCTGTCAGCACTTCACGTGGCAGCCTCAAAGTGCACTTGGCCTGGGATAGGCGCCGTGGCGGACGTCACCGTCACTTTGTGGCGAATGGCGAGGGTATTGGTATTGGTTCGTGTCGAGTGTGAGTGGTTCGTGTGTGTGGGGGGGGGGGGGAGTAGCGGTTAGCACACTGCGCTATGAACCCGAAAACTCGAGTTCGATTCCCGCTCACAACACCAGTGACGATTATCTAAACCGGTCCTGGTTCTCCCCTAGGTCGATTCGGCCTCAAATGAGTATCTGGTGCGGTGTGTAAACATCGTCACTGGGGAGGCAAAGGCGGTCTAGCGTGGTGCTGGCCACCCACCCTTTCGTGTACCGTTCCGGTCTGTATAGGTGCTCGCTAAGAGCACTTGCCCCAACAGTTTGTTAAGCCTACACGGGGGATCTTTGTCTTTAACTTTGTACACGTGTGAGTGGATGAGTAGAATACGTGTGCTTGTGAGTGTGTGAGTCAATGTGTGAATGGTTTGTGTGGTTGTGGTGCGTGTTGTATGTGGTGCGCGTTTACGTCGGCTGTGGATGGGTATATGTGGAGAAGGGTGGCAGAGTGGTTAGCGCGCTGCGCTACGAACTCGGCCAACCTGAGTTGGATTCCCGGCCACGGCTAACATCAGGGTGGCGAGTGATTATCTGAACCGCCGCTGTGCCGTCCCCTAAGTCGACTCAGCCTTAAACGAGTACGCTGTTGCGGTGTGTGACATCGGTACTTGGGAGGCAAATGCGGACGAGGGTGTTGCGCCATGCTGGCATCTAATAGGTGATCGCTAACAGCACTTGCCCCAGCAGTGTTGCGTCTATACGGGGGATCTTTGTCTTTGTTCATGTGTGCGTGCATTAATTGTCCAGGCGGCACTGTCAAGGTACCTCACTCACAACTGGAAGGCCGTGAGTCGAAATACAGACAGTAGGTCAAATCAGCCCATCATTCATCACGGGTCGATAAAATCTGTTGGGAAGCCGGCTGTGGTTTTAACCGTGCAGAGAGTCGTCTCGTGTGTGTGTATATGCGTGCAGGCCTAACTTGTATGTGTGGGCACATGTATGTGTGGGCACATGTATGTGTGGGCACATGTATGTGTGGGCACATGTATGTGTGGGCACATGTATGTGTGGGCACATGTATGTGTGGGCACATGTATGTGTGGGCACATGTATGTGTGGGCACATGTATGTATGTAGAGTGTACGTGGGGGGAGGGGCGCGCCGTTGCCAGTGCAGCAACCGAGGCGAGGAGCAACCGTGGGGGGGGGGGGGGGGTAAGAGAGTGGGGGGGGGGGGGGGGTAAGAGGGTGGGGGGGGGGTAAGAGAGTAGGGGGGGTAAGAGAGTGGGGGGGGTAAGAGTGTGGGGGTGGTAAGAGAGTGGGGGGGGGGGTAAGAGAGTGGGGGGGGGGGGTAAGAGAGTGGGGGGGGGGGTAAGAGAGTAGGGGGGGGTAAGAGAGTAGGGGGGGTAAGAGAGTGGGGGGGTAAGAGAGTAGGGGGGGTAAGAGAGTGGGGGGGTAAGAGTGTGGGGGGGGGTAAGAGAGGGGGGGGGGGTGAGAGAGTGGGGGGGGGTAAGAGAGTAGGGGGGGGTAAGAGAGTAGGGGGGGTAAGAGAGTGGGGGGGGGTAAGCGAGTAGGGGGGGGGGTAAGAGAGTAGGGGGTAAGAGAGTGGGGGGGGGGGTAAGAGAGTAGGGGGGGTAAGAGAGTGGGGGGGTAAGAGAGTGGGGGGGGGGGGTAAGAGCGTGGGGGGGGGGGTAAGAGAGTGGGGGGGGTAAGAGAGTGGGGGGGGGTAAGAGAGTGGGGGGGGGGAGTAAGAGAGTGGGGGTGGTAAGAGAGTGGGGGGTAAGAGAGTGGGGGGGGGGGGTAAGAGAGTAGGGGGGGTAAGCGAGTAGGGGGGGGGGTAAGAGAGTGGGGGGGTAAGAGAGTGGGGGGTAAGAGAGTGGGGGGGGGGGGGGTAAGAGAGTAGGGGGGTAAGAGAGTGGGGGGGTAAGCGAGTAGGGGGTAAGAGAGTGGGGGGGTAAGAGAGTGGGGGGGGGTAAGAGAGTGGGGGGGGGTAAGAGAGTGGGGGGGGGTAAGAGAGTGGGGGGGGGTAAGAGAGTGGGGGGGTAAGCGAGTAGGGGGGGTAAGAGAGGGGGGGGGTAAGAGAGTGGGGGGGTAAGAGAGTAGGGGGGGTAAGAGAGTGGGGGGGGGTAAGCGAGTAGGGAGGGGGGTAAGAGCGTGGGGGGGGGGGGGTAAGAGAGTGGGGGGGGTAAGAGAGTGGGGGGGTGGTAAGAGAGTGGGTGGGGGTAAGAGAGTGGGGGGGAGTAAGAGAGTGGGGGGGGGGTAAGAGAGTGGGGGGGGGGGTAAGAGAGTGGGGGGGGTAAGAGAGTGGGGGGGGGTAAGAGAGTGGGGGGGTAAGAGAGTGGGGGGGGGTAAGAGAGTGGGGGGGTAAGAGAGTGGGGGGGGTAAGCAGAGTGGGGGGGGGTGAAGAGAGTGGGGGGGGGTAAGAGAGTGGGGGGGTTAAGAGAGTGGGGGGGGGGTAAGAGAGTGGGGGGGTAAGAGAGTGGGGGGGGGTAAGAGAGTGGGGGGGGTAAGAGAGTGGGGGGGGGGTAAGAGAGTGGGGGGGTAAGAGAGTGGGGGGGGGTAAGAGAGTGGGGGGGGTAAGAGAGTGGGGGGGGTAGAGAGTGGGGGGGGGGTAAGAGAGTGGCGGGGGGTAAGAGAGTGGGGGGGGGGTAAGAGAGTGGGGGGGGGTAAGAGAGTGGGGGGGGGTAAGATAGTGGGGGGGGTAAGAGAGTGGGGGGGGTAAGAGAGTGGGGGGGGTAAGAGAGTGGGGGGGGTAAGAGAGTGGGGGGGTAAGAGAGTGGGGGGGGGGTAAGAGAGTGGGGGGGGTAAGAGAGTGGGGGGGGTAAGAGAGTGGGGGGTAAGAGAGTGGGGGGGGTAAGAGAGTGGGGGGGGTAAGAGAGTGGGGGGGGTAAGAGAGTGGGGGGGGGTAAGAGAGTGGGGGGGGGGGTAAGAGAGTGGGGGGGGTAAGAGAGTGGGGGGGTAAGAGAGTGGGGGGGGTAAGAGAGTGGGGGGGGTAAGAGAGTGGGGGGGGGGTAAGAGAGTGGGGGGGGGGTAAGAGAGTGGGGGGTAAGAGAGTGGGGGGGGGGTAAGAGAGTGGGGGGGGGTAAGAGAGTAGTGGGGGGTAAGAGAGTGGGGGGGGGTAAGAGAGTGGGGGGTAAGAGAGTAGGGGGGGGTAAGAGAGTGGGGGGGGTAAGAGAGTGGGGGGGTAAGAGAGTGGGGGGGGTAAGAGAGTGGGGGGGTAAGAGAGTGGGGGGGGTAAGAGAGTGGGGGGGGGGGTAAGAGAGTGGGGGGGGTAAGAGAGTAGGGGGGGTAAGAGAGTGGGGGGGGGGGTAAGAGAGTGGGGGGGGGTAAGAGAGTGGGGGGTAAGAGAGTGGGGGGTAAGAGAGTGGGGGGGGGTAAGATAGTGGGGGGGGTAAGAGAGTGGGGGGGGTAAGAGAGTGGGGGGGTAAGAGAGTGGGGGGGGTAAGAGAGTGGGGGGGGTAAGAGAGTGGGGGGGTAAGAGAGTGGGGGGGGGTAAGAGAGTGGGGGGGGGTAAGAGAGTGGGGGGGTAAGAGAGTGGGGGGGTAAGAGAGTGGGGGGGGGATAAGAGAGTGGGGGGGGTAAGAGAGTGGGGTGGTAAGAGAGTGGGGGGGGTAAGAGAGTGGGGGGGGGTAAGAGAGTGGGGGGGGTAAGAGAGTGGGGGGGGTAAGAGAGTGGAGGGGGTAAGAGAGTGGGGGGGGGGGTAAGAGAGTGGGGGGGTAAGAGAGTGGGGGGGGGTAAGCGAGTGGGGGGGGGGTAAGAGAGTGGGGGGGGTAAGAGAGTGGGGGGGGTAAGAGAGTGGGGGGGGTAAGAGAGTGGGGGGGGTAAGAGAGTGGGGGGGTAAGAGAGTGGGGGGGGGGTAAGCGAGTGGGGGGGGGGGGTAAGAGAGTGGGGGGGGTAAGAGAGTGGGGGGGGGTAAGAGAGTGGGGGGGTAAGAGAGTGGGGGGGGTAAGAGAGTGGGGGGGTAAGAGAGTGGGGGGTAAGAGAAGGGGGGGGGGTAAGAGAGTGGGGGGGGTAAGAGAGTGGGGGGGGGTAAGAGAGTGGGGGGGGTAAGAGAGTGGGGGGGGTAAGAGAGTGGGGGTAAGAGAGTGGGGGGGGTAAGAGAGTGGGGGGGGGGGGTAAGATAGTAGGGGGGTAAGAGAGTGGGGGGGGTAAGAGAGTGGGGGGGGGGGTAAGAGAGTGGGGGGGGGTTGTAAGAGAGTAGGGGGGGTAAGAGAGTGGGGGGTAAGAGAGTGGGGGGGGTAAGAGAGTGGGGGGGTAAGCGAGTAGGGGGGGGGGTAAGAGAGTAGGGGGGTAAGAGAGTGGGGGGGGTAAGCGAGTAGGGGGGGTAAGAGAGTAGGGGGGTTAAGCGAGTAAGGGGGGGGGGGGGTGTGTAAGCGAGTGTGTAGCAGAGCGCGACACGGCGAGAACAAGCCAGGGAGGGCAGCGCAGCGATTGTGAGCGAGAGAACTCGGGGAGAGCGGCGCCAGGGAACAACGGGGACAGCGAGCAGCGGCACAGAGAGACACCAGCTGGAGAGGCAGGGGCGACAGAGCCACACGCACCCACACACAGGGAAAGGGATAGAGAGAAGGGGAGGGAGCGGCGCGAGAGAGAGAGAGAGAGGGGGAGGGAGCAGCGAGACAGAGAAAAGGGGGTTAGAGAGGGAGCGAGAGGGAGGGAGACGCGCAGGGAAGGAGGAGGAGGAGGGAAGGAGGGGAGGGGAGCGAGGGAGAGGCGGCAGAATGAGAAGTAGCGAGCACGGCGCGGCGACACTCTCACAGCCGAGCAATACGGCCATGGCCTCAGTGCACAGCCCACAGCAGCAGCACCAGCAGCAGCACCAGCAGCAGCAGCAGCAGAACGGCATGCACGCGGTTGCCGCGCAGCAGCTTGAGTACGAGCCCTCGGATTCGCGCAAGCGGCCCCTGGAAGCGCCCATGGAGGCGGGCAGCACCAAGCGTTCGAACACCAGCGGCGGTGAGTGCACGCCGTGGCCCCCCCGAACGGGGATAACGCAACTCCGTCCACACGGAGTCTGCCCCCCCCCCCCACTTCTTGGAGCCACAGGCAGGGCCATACGGGGGGGGGGGGCTTGACGTCCTTGTTAAGGTTGCGCGTACGTGTGTTCTTGTTGTTGTTGCTGTTGCGCGTACATGATGGGGGATTACTCGTGTCGGTAGGGGAGGTGGGTGCTTTGGGGACGGACGTTGGCAAGTGACAGGTTGCAGTGGCCGTGAAGGCGATAGGCGGAGATTGGTGGGTGAGCGACGGAGCGACGTCGAATGTGCGTGGCCGGTGTGCCGGGCTTTGGTCGGAGGTTGATAGATTGAGGTGGTGTGTGTGGCGTGTGGGGGCTTGGTGGTGGTGGTGGTGTAGAGGCAGCGGCGTGATGAGCCACACTTTGCAGGCTGTTGCAGCTACGCGAAGGGCCCACGCCCGCCAAGGCGGGCGAGCTACGTAGGGAGTGGGAATTTGGACAGGCCCCCCCCCCCCCCGATCTCATTCATTGCACCAGAGGGCTGTGCCAACCGCAATCTGCCCCTGTGTGTTCGTGTGTGTTCAGGGGGGGGGGGGGGGGGCTGCGTGTTCGTTGTAAGTTGTTGGGTCGTGGGAGGTGACGAGGGTAGAGCGAGAGGGGGTATTGGGGTGCCGGCGAGTGCCGTGGTGGATGATGGAAGTGAATTCGATGGTGCCGGTGGGCGATGGAGGTCCACAAGACAGGCGGATTGGGTGTCGTAGAGGTGGAGATGCCTACACGGGTTTGTTAACCCTCCTCGCTTTGAGAACCGCTTCACGCCGAGCCTAGGGAGGGAGCGGGGGGGGGGGGGTAGTCAATGCTCCCTCCTGGTGTGGCGGTGTGTGCGGGCACCCCCTCTGCGCTGCCACCGCGAGTGCATTGTGCCACCAAACGCTCGTGCCACCGATGCCTTTGGGCGCCTTCGCGCGACGTTCCGAGTCGCAACCGAAGCGCCGCATCCCAGAGGGACGTTCCCTGGGCGACTCTTTAGCGCTCATATTTCTCGCACCTCGTCGTCGGGTTTTTTCTGTCGCCGCGCGCGATGTGATGATGATGATCACGCGGGCGGGCGGGGGGGGCTGCAAGCCACTGCGATTGTTCGCCTGTCATGGGACCGAGGTGTGACGCGTGGCTTTGTGTGACGGTGCTGGCTGCGATGGTGATGGCTGCGATGGTGATGGCTGCGATGGTAGATTTTTGTGTGATGGTGCTGGCTGTGATGGTGCTCTGTGTGTGATGGTGATGGCTGTGATGGTGCTCTTTGTGTGATGGTGATGGCTGTGATGGTGCTCTTTGTGTAATGGTGATGGCTGTGATGGTGCTCTCTGTGTGACGGTGCTCTTTGTGTGATGGTGCTGGCTGCGATGGTAGATCTTTGTGTGATGGCGCTGGCTGTTATGGTGCTCTCTGTGTGATGGTGCTCTTTGTGTGATGGTTATGATGGTGATAGCTGCGATGGTGATGGCTATGATGGTAGATCTTTGGGTGATGGTGCTGGCTGTGATGGCGCTCTGTGTGATGGTGATGGCTGTGACTGGTAGATCTTTGTGTGATGGTGCTGGCTGTGATGGTGCTCTCTGTGTGACGGTGCTCTTTGTTTGATGGTGATGGCTATGATGGTGATGGCTATGATGGTGATGGCTGTGATGGTACTCTGTGTGATGGTGATGGCTGTGATGGTGCTCTTTGTGTGATGGTGCTCTTTGTGTGATGGTGATGGCTATGATGGTGATGGCTGTGATGGTAGAACTTTGTTTGATGGTGCTGGCTGTGATGGTGCTCTGTGTGATGGTGATGGCTGTGATGGTGCTCTCTGTGTGATGGTGTTGGCTGCGATGGTGCTCTCTGTGTGATGGTGATGGCTGTGATGGTGCTCTCTGTGTGATGGTGATGGTTGTGATGGTAGATCTTTGTGTGATGGTGCTGGCTCTGATGGTGCTCTGTGTGATGGTGATGGCTGTGGTGGTGCTCTTTGTGTGATGGTGATCTTTGTGTGATGGTTATGATGGTGATGGCTGTAATGGTGCTGGCTGTTATGGTGCTCTTTGTGTGGTGGTGATGGCTGTGATGGTGATCTTTGTCTGATGGTGCTGGCTGTGATGGTGATGGCTGTGATGGTGCTAGCTGTGATGGTGATGGCTGTGATGGTGATCTTTGTGTGGTGGTGCTGGCTGTGATGGCGATGGCTGTGATGGTGCTCTTTGTGTGGTGGTGATGGTTGTGATGGTGTTATTTGTGTGATGGTGCTGCTGTGATGGTGATCTTTGTGTGATAGTGATGGCTGTGATGGTGATCTTTTCGTGATGGTGCTGGCTGTGATGGTGATCTCTACGTGGTGGTGCTAGCTGTGGTGATCCTCTTTATGTGATGGTGCTGTTTTTTTTGTGATGTGCCTTTCTGTGTGATGATGCGATGGTTGCACCCAAGACTTCCTTTAAAAAATAAAAAACAAGGCTTTTACTATCAATGGGTTTGATGGAACCGCGTGTTCGATGGCGCCCAGCGTGTGTGAGATTACGCCGCTCTTGACGATGTTTTACGTGCGATGGTATTCGATTTGTGATGGTGCCCCGCTTATGACTGTTACCTGGTGTGCGATGGGAATACGCCTTGCGTGACAGTGCTCCGCGTGTGATGGTGCCCCTGCGTGTGTGTGTCGGACGCGATGGTGCTGTTGGGGACGCGCGTGCGCGCGATGTCGTGGCTGATGATGCCGATGATGCCGATGATGCCGACGGCGGCGGCGGTGGTGGTGATGGCGATGCGGCTGCCCACGGTATGCAGGGCACGTCCCGCGCACGTGCGGAAAGCGGCGAGCGGCAGCGCTGCGAGATAAATTGGGGGGGGGGGCGACTCGACGGCGCTCATCCCCTGGCTGGCCAGGCGGTCCGCGCAGTCGCTCCGTGTGACCGTGGACGATCGGGAAGGGGGTTCGCTGGCACCTGCGTGGCCCGCATTTTTTCATTCGCTCGCTCGCCATCCATCCAGTCCACCTTAATCCGTCCACCGATTCATGAATCTGTACAATTATTCCGACGTCAATTCAGTCGCGTTACCATCGGTCACCCTCCATCCATCGATCCGTGCATTCGCTCCGCACGTTCGATCACCGTTCTAGCCGTCCATCCGTCGATCCCCTCCTCTCCTTCAATCCATACACCAATTCCTCCTCCATCCGTCCACTCGTCCGTGCATTCAATCATCCACTCATCCGTCCACTCTTCCGCCTCCTGTCTCCGCGCGCCTTGCCGAGCCAGGTGTCGCGTCGCGCCGCAGTGCCTGCAGGCAGGCATCGTGCGGGCATCTCTCCGCTCGTGCGAGAGAATCTCCGCGGAGCGGTGCGCGTCTACGGGACGATAGCGATACACGGCGTCACATGGAGCGCGTTCCGGTGTCCGTTCTCGGCGCGCGCGCACCCCGCGAGTGACACCCGCGCGCGTCGGCTCGGCGCTTTAAGGTGCACGCGTTTCTCTCCGCGTCTGGGGAGGCGGTTTCTTTAATTATTAATCATCTTGCCGATGTCCAAACGGCCGCAATAATTCGCGCTCGCCCTCGATTACATTTAACGCGGGGAGCTCTGCCGGGTTCCGCCGCCACCGAGAGAGGACCGCGGAGACAACAGCAAGGCACGGAGACGGCAGTGAGACACGGAGACGGCAGCAAAACACGGCGACGGCAGCGAGACACGGAGACGGCAGCGAGACACGGAGACGGCAGTGAGACACGGAGACAGATGCCCGAAGGAACGGAGCTGTCTGTAGCAGCCTACAGCGAGCGTTTGGCATCGCCGTGACACTCGCCACGACACTCGCCACGCTGCAACAAGAAGAGAATATTCAGCGCAACGGAAGCTGAGCAATGCCATGTTCCAGCATGGATCAAAGTGAGAGCGTGGGTTGTGTGTAGTGGGCGTTCTTGTGTCCCCGTGGTTGCAGTGTCACATTTTTATTCAACTGCTGTTGTAGGAGACATCATTATTATACTGCTTTGGTAGAAATCACAAACAAAGCAGAGTTTGTGAACAATCTATCTGCCGCTCTCCCCCTCTCCCTTGCGTGCCGTCCGTCTCTGTTAAGGGCACTGATGCCAAGTGGTAGCATCGGAAGTTTGCCTGCGTCGTGACAGCGGGCGCTCATTGCTCCACATTTCCCCCCACCCCACCCACCCCCGTGCCCGCACAGATGATGGCCAGTACTACCTGAAGGTGCTCATCCCCAGCTACGCCGCCGGCTCCATTATTGGCAAGGGCGGCCAGACGATCGTGCAGCTGCAGAAGGAGACCGGAGCCACCATCAAGCTCTCCAAGTCCAAGGACTTCTACCCAGGTGAGACCCAGGTAGAGTGCTGGTTGGGCCCCCATTTCCACGCCAATGCCACGTGCTGTGAATGAGGACCACTTGTAGGGCCGCGTCTTCTCGCAATAATCGTTATGTTGCCCAAAATAATTAATTTGGGGCTGTCACAACAGCCAAGCAAACGTGTAATGATATGTCATTTTCTAAATTGCTGTTTGTGCTGATGCGCCCGCGCGCGCCAACAGCGGTGGCGACGAGCTGCTGAGCGCTCTCTCTCTCCACCCCGCGCGCTTCTGCGGTGAATGCACCCGGCCCGTCTGCTGAAAGCGGGCCTGGAGGGCTTGTGTCCCTTTCATGTGCCTCGCCGCCACCCTGGGTGTTCTTCACGTCTCGCGGCCTGGTTTAATCTGGATTAGGCTCCCCCGAAGGGAACGCCGGCTCGCCTTTGGGCTCGCCATCACACGCGGGTTCATGCGACTCGAATTCGGCGAGTCTTTTTTTGTTTCGTTTTTATCCACGACGCTTGAGTCGCGGGCGAGCTCTGCTCACCGATGCTCCCGTCTTGTCAGCCGAGCGGGTGTGAGAGTGCAGGAGGGGCCCTGTTCCCCAAGCACTGTGGCCACAATGCTATGGTGTTGATGTTATCACGCTGGAGGATGAGACCGAAGAGGGCGAATGAGCAAGCGAGTGGTGTGTTTTGGTCCGGGTGGCTGGGCTGGGCAGGGCAGGATAGGTGCGATAGAGGAGTTTCCATCATTTGGGGCTGTGAGGCAAGAGGGGAGGTGATTTCAGAAAGTTGGGAGGGGGCATCTGGCGGATGCAGGGTGGTCTCTTGATCTGCGTCGACGATGTACAATCACACGCGTGTACATGAGCCACCGCTCTCAGAGCTCTGCCTCTGCACGTTTTGCTTACTGGCCACAGTTTTTTTTTTATCAGCCCTGGAGGGACAGTGAAATGTGGAACACATGTTCAGAGTCATTTTGTGTTTTCACTTGACTTTCACAAAAAACAAAACCGCAATCCCGCTCTCGTTGCGCTCAAGTACAAATCCCGCGCTAAAGCGCCCCACTATCGTGTTCTTCCTGAAGCGCCGTTGCTCCCGGTGGTGGTTGGAAACACTTCCCTTGCCAATTACTGGTGGAATAGACTGGACTGGTGCGGTAATTAGGTTACATGAAACGCGTAATCTGCACCCACGAATGATGCCAAAATAATGACCCCAATTGACCGAAAGTGACTTGCCTTGCTCGTGGGATCCTGCGGGCCTGCCTCTAGTCGGGTTCTGTCTGCAGGGGTGGCGTTGTGCCGCGCCAGAGCGCTCGGGGCGGGGGGGCGGGCAGCCGGCACGATTATTTGGCTCCCAACCCCCCGCCCCCCCCCCCCCTACCCCGGGCCCTAACGTCGACCGGCTCATCTGGGGTGTCAGCTCCACGTTTTGGAGGCCAATGGGGCAATGCGTGCGTCGGTACGAGCCACCATGGCATTTTTTGCGCCAAGCTGGTGAGGGGGTCGCTTGGCTCGCCAACCGAAGACCCTCCGTCCGTTGTCCCGCGAGGTATCGCCGTGCCTCTTTGTTCCACACTCCGCTCCATATTTGATATATGCATCAAAATCTGGCCCTTTTGCGGTCAGCCTGCTTCTTATGGATTATTGTTGTTAATCGTCATGTTGTGTGTTTTCATTTTTCTATGTCCTTAGCGACGTGCCTTTTATCACAGTGTGCCACTTGGATAAACCTCCGTTCGTTGTTAGGGCTACGAATTTTAATTTAATCTATGACGTCACCGTTATCTCTAAGGTCCCTTTCAGGCCTACGAAGGCTTTGTAAAAATAGTAGTTGTAATTATAATAATGATGAATGAACATTTGTCCAGTCATGTTAATTTTGTTGGAGTTTTTGCGTAAAAAGGTATTTTATTAAAATGGATAATGATACTCAATCCGACTGCTATCAGTGCAAGGATGACTATAAGTGGCACTTTGAGGTGCCATTATTTCAGATAGCTGCACGTTGCAATCGTTAGATTTGGACGGGGAATGAAAGCTCAATGTGGATAAATGTCGCTTCAATATTGAGTTGTCGGTTGGTGTTGGAATCCTTGTGTTTGATGTAACTCAGCTCTCTGTTGGCCTCTCTTGTTTATCCGCTCTTCGCACTTTTTATTCCAAGCAATTTTCATGAACATGGCACGGCAAGCCAGTCTCAAGTTTCAACTCCCTTCTCTTCCAATCAGTTAGATTGCTCCGTCTCTTCAATGCCCATTCAAAGAGAGGGCTTTTCCCGCTGAACCTGCGGTAACATTAGCACAGTGTTTATATGAAGTAACAAAGTACATGCATGGCCCTCTTGTGAATCCACTGCTGGATGAGGGTCTCCATATGCCGTGCACGTCGTGGGGGCTATTTAACCATACTTCACCACGCTGGTCAGCAGGGGTTGGTGAGGGTGCGAAACAGAGGTGGGGGGAAGCACAGAACACCGATATATTTTGCACTCTGCTCGACTGTCCACCACTTCGTCCCACAGCCTTTAACACCTGCTATGCACGGTGGCCACTCATCTAATCACTACTATCCAGGCTTAACCTCCGGCTTAGCTGCTGAGATGTGATGAGAACAGGTGCATCCCAGGTTATTTGGTCATAGGCTGATAAATAACCAAGCCCTGCGATATCAAAGTTAGAGTGCCGCTCCATTCAAAGCGAGCATAGGGCGAAACGCCTCTCTGGGTTTAAATTCCCTATTTATATGGAAGGGGGCAGAGTCTATCCATAGGACACTCTGCTGACTTCCCACAGATTTTTTTTTCCCACCCATAGTGGTTCCCTATATAGAAATGTGGAATGTTCACCGCAGGTCCCGAGCCAATGTCAGAGATGAGCACCCCCCCCCCCCCCCCCGTGCCCGTGGTGAGCGAAGAGGCACGTGGGCTCGACGTACATGTTTCTCATAGAACACGTCCTTGAAAGGGAGCTTGGGAAAAAAAATCCCAATCCTGATTGCGGCCCAGCTGGAGGAGACGAGGCTTCTCCTGGAAAGAGATGGCGCATGCGGGAATAGTGACATATTGGCGCAGTCAATTCAAACTTGCCAACTTTCCAAAATTTTTCGCGTATTGCTTAATTCGGTAACATCACAGATTCAGCAAAATCGCTCCCCTCCTCTCCCCCTTACTGGCAGACTGTATACGTCTGTGAAACATGGCACCTCCATGTTAGCCTTGTGCTCTAGGGATGGCACGACGACCAATCGTACCGAATTATTCAGCGATGTTTCCGGGGAGTGAGTAACAGTGGACGGTAGGGTTAGTAGTGTACGTTCCATTCCGCAAAGTTGTCCACCGCACGCGCACCGTGGAGTGTCCTTCCGCCTGCGTTGTTTGCGTGCAGAGGTATCCGCGGCGTCCCGCGCGACGTTCCGCCGCCGCCGGGCAATCTGGCGAACGCCTTGCGTGGGACGGGTTTGAGTTTCCGCCCCGTTCGCGCCGAGGTCGCTGGCCTAAGGAAATGTGCTTATCACCAGTGGGGGTCGCGGAGCCGCCAGGGTTGCTTCCTCGCTTTGTCCGACAGAGGCCGTGCGCATTGTTTCATTTCCACTTCCCCCCCACCCCTCACCTCCCGCACGGCTAGCTCTGCCTTCCGGCCGGCACACGCGTGTTCGGCTTTAATAAGAAAGGCCTTGGGCGCACGCAGAAGGGGAGCCCCATGCGTGTGCCGTGCGTCCAACGTGACGCGCCGCGGAGCCGCCCGCCGCTGCTCTGGTTCCATCGTGCGCCACAGATGGTCTTGGGAGTTTCACGAGCCAGGAGTGCAGATGAGCCAATCTTATTATCTCGTTTAAAGGAGGCCTTGTTTGTAAATTGTATATTTAGATTTAATAAAAAAAAATACACACCGTATTCTGTATTTTGTGTGTGCATGTATCGCCATGCTGTCAATCCACTGCTGGATGAGGACCAACCCATGCCACGCAGTGTCGTGCGGTGGACATTTTATTGCCGGGTTAAATTGAAATGCTTTTGTTAAAATATTTTGAGACTCGAGCTGTCAACCATTCGGCTTGTATTGATTTTGGACTCCTAACTAACCGTCTATGAAACACGAGCGTGCACATCAATGTTCAGTGGCAGTCTGCGCAGGTTATTATTCTTATTTTTTTAAACGTCAAAAAGTTGTGCAGTGTTTTGACAGCTCTCCCATGTCCGTCCGTGCGTCCTTGCGTGAGAACGTGCTAACGTTTTCGCCCGCACAGGTGCAAACGCCAGCCCCAGCCGAGGCACGCTTCTCATCGCCTTGCTGTAGAATTGTTTTTTTGCCGCTAAGTTCCTGCTTGCATGCAGGCCATATGTAAATGCAGTATCATATCGAGTCTGCGCAGATGCAAAGTGACGCGTGCAATTTGATAGATGCTGGCGGCGCGGCACTGCCCTCGCCGGCTGAAAGGCGCCGCGACGTTGCTTCCCATTACTCCTCGGTCGCAGGAAGCGCCGCCGTGATTATCTTGACGCTTTGTTGCCGCGCGGGCGGCGCAACGATTGAGAGGGGAGCGGGCGGTCGCGACACCGTTTGAAATTGGGTGCGCACACGAGTTGGATCCGAGGGAGGATGACAAAATCCTCAAACATTACACCCTTACTATAATCATTGTGGTTTAGATTTCGATGAGTGCGAACGCAAGAGGCAGAAATGCAAGGATCGAACCTAATTAGGGCTTTAGGAGTCTCGGTGTGAGGGCGTGGGAGCTCCCCCGGCCTCAAGGCAATTGCCGCGTTTGGAAAGTGATGGCCGTTAAGTCCAATTTAGGGGCAAAGGAGCAGAGCTGTGAGGTGGCTCGCGTGTTTTTTGTGCGGAGCCTCCAGCCACGGAGAGAACGGTGTCCTTACTGTGCCGTGTTTGTATTTTGCACACGTGTGGTGTACGCAACGGAGTATTCAGCTGAAGACGTAAGACATGTAAAATGAGAAAGACTATAAAAAATATATATAGAAAATATATTTCATTGTAAACAGTTGTGAGCGAAATTGCACG